TATACATACACAAGATAATTGCAAATATTTTATTCAAGTCTCAAACTTGAATGTTCACTATTCTTTACAATCTTCTACACACTCATGGCGCAGTGACTGATATTATATACATACATACACACACACACACATATACAGGGTGTCGGATTCGATTTGGACGACTCCAAAGATTACAGTAGATTGGGTCAAGCTGAGAAGAAAAGTTATATACCATTTTACAAAATTCGTAATTATTATCGCGTAATTAAGAAAAACGTCTGAGCCAATAAGTGCACGGAGGAACTGAAGGCCGGACTCGGCAGACATGCAAAATGGTGTATTATTCTCCTACCATCAGAAAAACTTTTTCGGCGCGGTGTCATATGTCGCGCGTTCTCTCGCTGCGCGCCGTTCGCCCGCTCACCGCCACCCGCTCGCCCCCGTCTCTCATCGATCGATGCGTGACTTCACCTCTCGCTATCGATTCTTGAGAGATGTCAACAAACACACCATTTTGCATGTCTGCCGAGTCCGGCCTTCCGCTCCTCCGTGCACTTATTGGCTCAGACGTTTTTCTTAATTACGCGATAATAATTACGGATTTTGTAAAATGGTATATAACTTTTCTTCTCAGTTTGACCCAATCTACTATAATCTTTGGAGTCGTCCAAATCGAATCCAACACCCTGTATACATATAACATATTAACAAAACCAATACTTTAATATTAAATTTATATAAAGAATAATGCAAAATAAATAAATTAAAAATAACATTCCAAAAAGTAAAAAACCATTAATAACGTTATTGTAACTATATTGTAACCATTGTTAGTAACGTGTAACGTTGCTCAGGGAAGAACCTGTTTACCTACAATCTCGATTGTTAACAACTTTGTATGCCAACATCTTAGCAACCAATATATTTGCAAACATTCCCGATTGCCTACAGACTAATCGTCTACGAGCATAATTGTGCACCACTATTTAAGATAATACATAGAATATAAGGAAACTACATTAGATTACAGGCAAGGTCAAAGTAATAAAATTCTTATTTATTACATTAGAGTACATGCAATGTCAAAGTAAATTAATAAGATTTTCATTTATTTACATTGAAGTTGCGTGTAATCTGATGTAATCTGATCATACGTTTTATTTAATATTTTAAACAGGCACACGTAATACGATCGTACGTTGCGCACATTGCACAATTATACACAAACACATTACGCACTTGACACAATTCAATTTTAATGTGCACGCGCAGGTTACATGCATGACAGGATTATAAAGATGTATATATTTACATTTATATGAAATATTATCCTTATATATTATAGAGGTGTATGTGCATAGTAATGTTATACAGGGTGCTCCGCAATTTTTTTACCCCAGGAAGATAGATGGGACTAAGCCAAACAGAAAAGTCCTGTATCATTTTGCAATTGGAGGAATAGTACTAGTCCAACCTACTGGCAAATGTAAGCGCGTGATGAGATGCGCCCGCCCATCGGCTGCCGCTCGGATCGGTGCGCGTCAAAAGTACGGAGACGCGATGTAGCGTGCGAGCGGTCGTGTAAGCGGTAAACGGGTTGCGGTGCGCCTCCTTACTCTTCGCCGCACACCGCCTCGAGCGGGGGCCGATGGGCGGGCGCGTCTTACCACGCGCTTACATTTGTCAGTAGTTCGAGCTAGTACGGCGATTGTTGAACATCAATATCTCGATAACTATTCCTCCAAGGACAAAATGGTAGAGGACTTTTCCATTTGTCTTCGTCCCATCTATCTTCCTGGGAACGGTGGTCAAAAAATTGCGGAGCACTCTGTATAACATTACTATGCACATACACCTCTATAATACATAAGGGTACTACTTTATATAAATGTAAATATATACATCTTTATTTTTATTTAAAGTCCAACAACAATATACATATACAGGTATGATATCAATGCATCATGGAAACCTGATGTCCTAATATCTTAATTTGAATAATTTTAATCTTACATATCTTCTATATCTTCATCAGTTTTCTACAAATATCTAAATCACATTTTCAAAAAATTAATATTTATATTTTCGAAACATAAATACTGTTACTTTTTCGTTAATTATAATTTTACCATACTAACACTGATCAATTTATACTTGCTTCATCATTGTGTAGAATATATAACAGTAAAGTAAGATACCGAAGCTTTAATCAGCTGTAATTAATGACATCTTTTTTTATAATATCCATTACTGCAATAATATGGTATTTTTGGGATATTTTACATCTTCTTACCATGGCAAAACCTTCCATAGACGCAATAAATAATCCACCAACAGTCAAAGTAAACTCCTTGGTTTCTCTTTGTAACAGGAATAATATCATCTTTTGTATGTGTATAGGCGCTCTATACCACTGCACCTTATATCTGTAAAATTGTACAGAGTGTTATGTAATACCCGCCTCACCTCATATTTACAGATAGAACGGATTAGACTCAGTTGGAAAGTCCTGTATCATTTTGCAATTTTTGCAATGGTTAGCAAGTTATTAATTATTAAAAATCGCTGTCTTAGCCTACCGCCCAATTCAAATGCGCAACAAGATGCGGCCGCGATTTGCGTTGCTAGGCGCGCGGGGACTTGTTTATGACACACGGCAACGGCTACGTAATAAACAAGTCCCCGCGCTTCAATCGCGAGACGGCCGTATTTCGTCGTGCGTTTGAATTGGGCGATAGACCGGGCTAAGACACTGATTTTTAATAATTAATAGCTCATAACTTTTGCGAAAATCAAAAATGGTACAGGACATAGAGTGGCCTTAGTCTAGCTCTATCCGCAAATGCGAGGTGAGGCGGGCATTACATAACACCCTATATACTGATACTGAATCGTAAATTCAGATAAACATTTTCAAAAAATTAATATTTATATTTATATTAGTTACTACAACTTTAGCATACAGTGATTTATTGTATAGTGATACTAATTTGTATTTAATTTAATAACTCTTAAAATACATATATATTCTCATTTATCTTACGCAGTAGAAAATATGTAATTATTATGATCTATTATATTCTGTCCAACATAGTTGGATATAAACATATATATCACAACAAGGAGTACAAACATAAACGGAAAAAACAATTCCATAACATTATACCCAGATGATGCAATCTGAAAAATCGAATGAATCAATTTTCTAGACATCTGTACTTTTTGGTATTGTATTGTTAATATGCATAATTTCGAAACAACTCTTATATTATATATTATTTTATAAAACAAAAATCAAAAACATACATAAAACAAATTGATGCTCATGCAAATAATACCATCCGCTATTAAACAAGCTATCATCACATCCACTACTGACAACAAGCTCATGGTCAATCTTCGAAAATAAAAAATATTACTAAACATACCCTTGAATATTGTCAACGTAAATACATACTTCATAGCTTGTCGATGCATGTTTACCGCATAAATTATACCGTTGGTCATCAAGATCTCCTTTTTTAGTGTAATGTTTTGTAAAATGTTGAAACTCATTGCATGCTCAATACGGTAGCTACAAATATTGTTACAATGACAATTGTAATTATACAGGGTGCTTCGCTTTTTGACTGCCGTTCACGGGAAGGTAGAGAGGACCAAGACAAATAGAAAAGTCCTCTACCATTTTGCACTTGGAGGATAGTTATCGAGATATTAATGATCAAAAATCGCCCTATCAGCCCGAGCTACTGGCAAATGTAAGCGCGCGGTAAAATGCGTCCGCCGCCCATTGGTTACCGCCCGAGGCGGTGCGCGGCGAGAAGTAGGGAGGTTCGCCGCCGTTCGTCCGCCGCTTACGCGACCACTTGCACACTCAACTTGTTAATATGCATAATATTAACTTGCATATTTGCTATAGTGCAAGGTCACCTTTTTTCATAAGTCTTCCTACTCCTCGCCGCGCACCGCCGCTCGCGACGGCCAATGGACGGACGGACGCATCTCACTGCGCGCTTACATTTGCCAGTAGGTTGGGCTGATATGACGATTTTTGAACATCAATATCTCGATAACTATACCTCCAAGTATAAAATGATAGAGGACTTTTCTTATTGCCTTGGTCCTCTCTACCTGCCCATGAACGGCTGTCAAAAAGTTGCAGAGCACCCTGTATAACAATTTATTAAATGACACCATTTTCAGCTAAAAACAAAGCTTTACATACAACTTTTATATATTAAATCATATTATATAAAAATAATATGTTTTGTACACTAGTTCCACTAGTTATTTATTGGACTTTTATAGTTCATTCTTATCCACATTGTAACACCTACCTAGCAATTCTAAACATTCCACAGGTATGTTGAATGCAAGTAATGTATATTGTACCTGTTCCTACTGTTATAATCATACCTATAAAAATTGTTGCGTATATGTGCAATATAATCAAGTAGAAATATTTTTCTTGGTCGACGAAATATTCTATCATAATAGGAGAAAGATACGGTTGAGATATATTGATGGGTACAATAGCATTCATTAGTTTTGACCAAAATTGAATTATAATACTAGCAAAATATGCACAAACTGCAAGTACTACAAAACATAAAAAATGGCATTTAAATTCATAAATGTATAATATTATGTAATTATTTTATGTGCACGTATGGATATTAAGGAAAAATATTTTTAATAGACTTGAACGCAAATTTTATTTTAAAGTTGAAAACTATTTTCCTATTTTATTTGATTTATGAACATATGTATTTATCGCAAGTACATTTTCATGATTAATATTTTAATATATCCATGTAATATATTATATATAAATATAGATATAAAAGTTGTAGCTAGTTACAGGGTGTTATGTAATACCCGCCTCATCTCTTATTTACGGATAAAGCGGACTAGACCGTGTCGGAAAGTCCTCCACCATTTTGCAACTATCGCAATAGTTAATGAGTTATTAATTATTAAAAATCGCTATCTTTTAATAATAGAAACAGGCTCGTACAAACAGCGTATATTTGATAAGATACAGAGTTACTTGAGCGAGTATAAGAACATGTAACGTCTAGCTTGCTACGTAGATACGAGACGACAGGGATCCACTAACTAGACCTAGGAGAGGGAGGTTTCTCGGTAGGGCCAACCTAAGGACTGTCGTGGTAGAGTTAGATGTCGCTATGTCTCATCAGTGTTGTCCTTGATAAATAGATGTCGTGAACACTTTCCAACATTATCGTAGCCCGGCCTGCTACCCAATTAAAGCGCGCTGAGAGATGCAACCGTCCCGCAATCGGTGTTGCTAGGCGTGCGAGGAGTTGTTTATTATACGTAGTCTTTGCTGTCAGTCATAAATAATTCCCCGCGCACCTAGCAATGCCGATCGGGCGGTAGGCCGGGCTAAGACAGCGATTTTTAATAATAATAACTCGTTACTTATTGCGAAAATTACAAAATGGAACATGACTTTTCGACTCAGTCTAATCCGCTATATTCGTAAATAAGAGTTAAAGCGGGTATTGCATAACACCCTGTTTAATAATGTAAAAGTTGTAATCAAATAATAATGCAAAAAAATAATTTATCTTCACAGCATATTACTAGATTTTTAATTGAAAATAGGATTATTATACATGCAAAAATCAATACACATTGTCCTACCTGTAAGCGTAATTGTGTAACGTTTCGCAATACAACTATATTTTTTTACAATAGCAATTTCATTTTTATCCTTTAAGTTGTTAAGTATATGTTGAAGCTCCATCAGTAACTTTTTCATCTGTCATTTTATTAACTTTATATAATATTGTTGTATACATTTAAAAACATTACTTGACAAACAGATTAATCCTATATAGTGGATACACTAAATATGATCAACTTACAACTTCAATGTTAACACAGAATGCGTAATACTGTATTATATATAGTACAAAGAAAGATACAGAAGATAACACCTTGGTAATAACATCCGAAGTGCATTTTAGCGTAACTAATGGTGTCAGCTGCAAGTAGAGATAGTTCTTCAAATTTTAAACATCAAGTATGATTAATCATAATGATATATCAAATAAAAGAGAAAAATATACATAAGCGGATACAGACTTGTATGGCATTTATGTATCATATGTTTCTTGTTCATTAATTTTATGATACGATACGATAATAGGTACGCCTTTGCCTATCATTGTTTCAAAATTTTTATAAGCAATGAAACCTGTTTAAACTGATACGCAATAACTAAGCAATATACAGGGTGCTCCGCAAGACTTTGATGTCCGGTCATGGGAAGGTAGAGGGGACTAAGACAAACAGAAAAGTATTGTACTATTTTGCGCTTGGACGAATAGTTATCGAGATACGAAATTTTAAAAATCACCGTATTAGCCCAACCTACTGGCGAATGTAAGCGCGCGGCGAGATGCGTCGGCCTAGCGGCCCCGCGCGGGGAGACGTGCGAGCGGTCGCGTAAGCGGCGGACGGGCAGCGGCGCGCCTCGCCTCCCTACTCCTCGCCCCGCACCGCCATTCTATTCCTCGCCGCACACCGCCTCGAGCGGGGC